GTGAGGATAACATGGCATGTATGTCCCCTGGGTTGGACTGGCTAGATCCTTCCCTGGCTTCCATGTTATTGGTTGATGTGCGTAGCAGTTTGAAAAGTTCTGCCTTCCTTGCTGTAGCGGGGTAGGGGATTTGTCGTCTCCTTAATTCCGTGGTTATGCGCGGGATTGTCCAGGATCTAATTGATGCTGGACTAGCTAGCTCTCCTCCTTGTGTGGGAGTGACAGCTCTAGCCGGGGTGCTAGGCAGGGAGAAATCCTCTACCCCTTCCTGAGACATACTATAAATAAAACAATAATTAGTATATAGAACCACCAAATTGTACTGGCAGGCTAGCTAGGCCGGATGGCGAAAGTATTATGCTTGTTTGGTGACAGGTGAGGCCCTACTAATTGCCAAGCGGCTTGAGAGGCTCTATCTATGCGTTGGCGCGAGGGGTTATTGAGGCCACTTGACGTAGTGGCAGGAGTTTTAGGCCTCTCGGTGACTGTACGACAGAAAACAGGGGAAGGGAGTGACAGGTGAGGCCCTCTCTTTGCAACATGCGAGGCGGCTAGCTAACGTGTGGCCCGATGGGTGTTTGCCTCCGAAACGTTTGAGGCGGGGTGTTGGCCTCGCGGGACCACTAACTAATGGCGACAGCCAAGATGGGGTAAATACCTATTGGGAATCCTGTGACCCTATTGCCAGTACTCTAAACTAGGGGAATGAAATGAAATTTATGGTAGAATACCATATGAGCAGGTGTACGTACCTGGTAGTATGATAAATCACAGGAATAAACAGTGTGGAGAAATTATATAAGCTCGACAGCCTAAAATGGGTAAAAGAGAGTAGTACGATGAGTGTGGGGTGTAAAAAGAACCAGACTTATAGTCTGTAGCAGCAATGTTATGTTGATACCATGGGAATAGCTATGAGTGGCTCAGAAATGTTTGCATGCTTGAATAAGACATCTGAGGGAGGCCGTGGCCTATGTACAAACAATCTATGTGTTACGGGATAATGGTGTGTAAAGGAAAACATGAAACGTAGGTTATATACATATGTATATGACTGTGTAGGGGACGTATGATTGGTTGGATCAGTACGTGTGATTCAACCCGAGTATGCATGCAGAAGGATTTAAGCCTTATGTGTCATCGTCATGACAGAGAAATGAGGCCTGTAATGTAGGCTGAGTAAATTGAAATGAAATGGATAGTTATAAAACTCCTGGCGTGGGAGTTCAATGATTTGTACCGAAATGTAACTGGTTTTATAGAAAGGGACATAGATGAGGTCATGGCCTAATTAACACAGCGTTATGTATGATATGTAGCAGAAAGACCAAAGGCAGGGATACCCCAAAATGATTTAACATGATGTAAAGTGATGTATATCTATATGATATGTATGTATAGCAAAGACGTATCAACCCGAGAATTATTGCTTAAATGAACCTATCCTTGTATATGTTGTATTAATAACCCAGAAATGATGCTTGTAACATAGGCTGAGTCCATTCGTATAAATGGATAAGTAATGCAGACCCCTGAAAGCGTGGGAGTCAAATGGTATACACAGAGAAGTGGACTTGATTTGTGGACGTAATACAATACTGACAATTTGTTAAAAGTAATCAACAATAATCTATTTAAGCAAGCAATACTTTAACCGAATGTTATATACACATGAAATGGTGAATATAATTCATGAAAGGATTATACGTGAACACACAGAACAGCCGAAAGCAAATGTGAGGGGAACACAGAAGTTAGAATAGTTTAACCGTATGATTTATGCGAACCAAAGCGTGTATGAGCGTATGTAAAATTTGCCGAACGGCAAAACAACCGAATGAACATTCGTTTAAATAACATGAATAGGATATGCGAAATGACTATTGAACGATTTAAAACATGTTCAGCCGAATGACCGTACGAATGAAAAGCCCGCGAATGGCTTGAAACATTCGTGTCATAACCAGGGAAAAGCCGTAAAGCGAGGACCCGTGCTGTACCGTACGCCGTGGGAACCAGTCCTGGCGTGACAGGAAGGTCTGACTTACGGTTTAGGAGTCCCTGGGACGCGATCTACAACGGAGAACGGAGTCAGAAGAAGCTGGACGGGCGGAAAGGCCTGAACAGGATTCCTGGACACAGCTTAACGTGGTGAAACCTCCTGGATACTGAAACCAAGATGGCGTCTGAGAGAACCCGGAAGTGGATCCTCATTCAACGCTGACCTCGAACGGTAAGGAGCCAGGCAAGGGGAGTGCCTTAAGTAGGCTAGGGGTAGAAAACCAGCACCTCCCACAAATGCAGGCAAATTGCCTTAATACATATATATATATAAAATATAAAAAGTCCACAGGTCCTACGCATTTCGTTCTTGTTATAGAATTTCCTCAGGGACCACTTATGCATAAAACCACAATCAATATACAACAAACCAAAAAGGCAATCTCTTGGAGTAGGGTGCGTTTGTGACAGTACTCTGAAAACTAGATACTATTATTGGGTTTTAAAGTTTACAGGTCTTACATTAATGGCAACTCCTGAATCCTATGCTACCTTCATTCTCCTGTACTTGATCTTTTTAGAGATCTACCTATTATATATATTTATATATATAGTGTTCAAGTAGAGATTGTAGCCGTATTAGTCCAGTGATGTAGATGTAAAAAACAGATAAAATTCTTATCTTGTAATACCTTTTTTATTGGACTAACAGAATTTTTTGAGAACACAACTCAACTTTGAATTCTATGTGTCGTTTTGCTCAGAAATGCTTCAGACTTGAGAAAGGGAGGTTCTCCCGAAAGCTTGTCATTAAAAAATTCTGTTAGTCCAATAAAAAAGGTATTACAAGATAAGAATTTTATCTGTTTTTTACATCTATATATATAGAGGGAGTGCAGAATTATTAGGCAAATTAGTATTTTGACCACATCATCCTCTTTATGCATGTTGTCTTACTCCATGCTGTATAGGCTCGAAAGCCTACTACCAATTAAGCATATTAGGTGATGTGCATCTCTGTAATGAGAAGGGGTGTGGTCTAATGACATCAACACCCTATATCAGGTGTGCATAATTATTAGGCAACTTCCTTTCCTTTGGCAAAATGGGTCAAAAGAAGGACTTGACAGGCTCAGAAAAGTCAAAAATAGTGAGATATCTTGCAGAGGGATGCAGCACTCTTAAAATTGCAAAGCTTCTGAAGCGTGATCATCGAACAATCAAGCGTTTCATTCAAAATAGTCAACAGGGTCGCAAGAAGCGTGTGGAAAAACCAAGGCGCAAAATAACTGCCCATGAACTGAGAAAAGTCAAGCGTGCAGCTGCCACGATGCCACTTGCCACCAGTTTGGCCATATTTCAGAGCTGCAACATCACTGGAGTGCCCAAAAGCACAAGGTGTGCAATACTCAGAGACATGGCCAAGGTAAGAAAGGCTGAAAGACGACCACCACTGAACAAGACACACAAGCTGAAACGTCAAGACTGGGCCAAGAAATATCTCAAGACTGATTTTTCTAAGGTTTTATGGACTGATGAAATGAGAGTGAGTCTTGATGGGCCAGATGGATGGGCCCGTGGCTGGATTGGTAAAGGGCAGAGAGCTCCAGTCCGACTCAGACGCCAGCAAGGTGGAGGTGGAGTACTGGTTTGGGCTGGTATCATCAAAGATGAGCTTGTGGGGCCTTTTCGGGTTGAGGATGGAGTCAAGCTCAACTCCCAGTCCTACTGCCAGTTCCTGGAAGACACCTTCTTCAAGCAGTGGTACAGGAAGAAGTCTGCATCCTTCAAGAAAAACATGATTTTCATGCAGGACAATGCTCCATCACACGCGTCCAAGTACTCCACAGCGTGGCTGGCAAGAAAGGGTATAAAAGAAGAAAATCTAATGACATGGCCTCCTTGTTCACCTGATCTGAACCCCATTGAGAACCTGTGGTCCATCATCAAATGTGAGATTTACAAGGAGGGAAAACAGTACACCTCTCTGAACAGTGTCTGAGAGGCTGTGGTTGCTGCTGCACGCAATGTTGATGGTGAATAGATCAAAACACTGACAGAATCCATGGATGGCAGGCTTTTGAGTGTCCTTGCAAAGAAAGGTGGCTATATTGGTCACTGATTTGTTTTTGTTTTGTTTTTGAATGTCAGAAATGTATATTTGTGAATGTTGAGATGTTATATTGGTTTCACTGGTAATAATAAATAATTGAAATGGGTATATATTTGTTTTTTGTTAAGTTGCCTAATAATTATGCACAGTAATAGTCACCTGCACACACAGATATCCCCTAACATAGCTATAACTAAAAACAAACTAAAAACTACTTCCAAAAATATTCAGCTTTGATATTAATGAGTTTTTTGGGTTCATTGAGAACATGGTTGTTGTTCAATAATAAAATTAATCCTCAAAAATACAACTTGCCTAATAATTCTGCACTCCCTGTATATATTTTTTTTTTTTAATATAAATTATTGTTGGCTTTACCATAATTTAAAGTACTTTACCTAAATCTGGACAAGCAGATTTTGTCAGGATATTTTTTTTTCCCAATGTTGTGTGTTGAATTTTGTTAAAATAAATAAACATACTGATATGTCCTAGTTGGCTTGCTCCCATTTTTCTTATTGCACCGTTCATTCATATTAATTCTAGTTAATGTGTTTAATTTCTTTATCTACTGAGTTCTTATTATATCCATTTGATAATAATTTGTTCTTTATAAATTCCACTTTAAAACCCTGTATATAGGTAAAAATGCACAAAGATGGAGGCGGAGCCTGACCACTGAAGCGACTGGTCGCAAGTTCCTAGAGCTCCCCACCGAGAGCCAAAATCGGGCGAAACAATCAGCCTACCTGCACCCACAGGGTCCAGGGGGACCACCCTTGCCAACAAGATCAAGATAGGACGCAAAACAAAAAAGCCCAAACCAGACAAGGCCAGCCCTGGGCTCACAATCGGAGACCTATGGCGGCAGGCGCATGGTGCCAACGGGCCCAAGATGGCTGCCCTCACTGGAGCCTGCTCTGATTTTTCTGATGACTACTCACTGGGAGCCGAAATAGAATACCCGCAGGCACTAGAGAGACCCATACGGAGACCACAGGACACAGAGGCGTCCCCAGTGACTAAAGCTGACCTAAAGGAGATGCTGGCCGACCTCCAAAAGCACATCTCAGCGGACATAGCTACAATCCGCGGAGACCTGAGAGGCCTCACAGGCCGCATCGGGAAACTCGAACTCACCACCACAGAACACTCCCAGCAATTAACGGCGCTCCAGCAAACAGTGCAGGAATTACAACACCAAAATCAGCTACACGAACGCCAATTTGCTGCCCAAGAAGATTCCCGGCACCAAAATAACATCAAGGTGCGGGGGGTGACAGAGGAGATACCGGATGCTGAGCTTCCACACTTCGTGAGACGCCTGATAGGGGCCTTACTACAACCCCGACAGGCCAAAGCGGTGGTGATCGAGGGCCAATTCCGAGCACCCAAACCCATCAGAGCCCCGAACGCTGCCTCCAGGGACCTGGTGGTTCGTTTTAGAAGCGGGTCAGACAAACTGCAGTCCTCACAGCGCTAAAGGGACACTCACCTTATCACTTCGAGAATATGCCCCTCAATGTCTACGCCGACCTCTCGGGGAGCACCCTGGCATGGAGGAAAACACTCCGGCCATTCACTGCACTCCTACAACAGAACAACATCCGCTACCAGTGGAAGCTCTCCCGCACACTGCTGGTGCATCACGGTGCCACTCCACACGCCATCCACAACCTCCAAGAGGCTGCTGAAATACTACCAGCTCTGGGGCTACCACTGGACGCACTTACCCGGGACATTCAATCTGAAACGCCCTCTAACTCCTGGGACCCTGCAAACATCCCCCCTTTTGTTCCCCGACGGAGCACCTCGGATTCCTATGCGGCCGCAACCACCTGAACATGTGCAGACACCGACCGGGACTCACATGGGCGCTAGCCTATTCTGACTTGCGTTAAACCCAGAACATTTGACTTTACCACCTCAAAGGTGTATTTTTTTTTTTTTTTTCACTGCCCTACCCAGTGGCATTGGTTCTATAAGTTTTGTGTAGTTTGGCTCTTGCTCCAGGGCAACAGAACAAATTATTATATCCCACCCTAGTCACATATGCAAAGTCTAACCTTGCTTAGCAGCCCCACATGTCATGGTCTAATGTGACTCAACGCGCTAACTTAACAAACTTTTCCTGCCTGTTAGTAGTTACACTCAGCACGTTTAGCCTGTGCATAGCCAATTATCTTATCATATTGATTTATTATTTACTCTCTGGCTACAGGCAACTATATTTGTAAGCGCCTCACCAGAGACTGGCACAGCAGCGCAATCTCACTGGCGTCACCTACCTTAACTTTACATAATAGGCCTATACCTAAGCCATGAGACAGCCGAGCAGGAAAATATCTCACAGTCTGTACCAAACCTGTTCCACATATATTACACTTCTGAATCACGAAAGCATGTTATTCCATTATACCAACATAAATACAGCTAACCTAGCACTGTTAAACGTTAATTGTTCTCACCTGTTTAATTTACTTCTATTACGACAACACACCCACCCTGCCGATTGCAGGTATTAGATGATCGTGGGACTGCTCCTATAATCCGAGCCAGGCTCAGACAGCGACGGCAGTTGCATACCCGGATGACTCTGCATTGCTTATTATGTTTTCAGTTTTCTGCTATTGATTCCTTATTTTTTTTTATATTATGTTTATTGTGTACCTATCTATTGCACACCTAGACAAACGCTATCCCTAGTGTGGAGCACCCTGGTATTAGCGCTAATGCGCCCAGGGTCCAGTGGCCATAAGCGTTAACTGTAAGCTGAACGACCACATGTATACCTTAGGGTAAACCTGCGATACCATCACGATCTCAGTTTGCTCCCTGCATCATACCTCACCCCAGCCATACCGGCTAATCGTTAAACTGACCGCAGTATTAAACAATCTAGCGCAAGCTTTATTCAATCTTATTAGTTCCTACAGGAACTGACTATGCTATTAACCGTGGTGCAAAAAATATATAAACGTTTGTTAATGTGGTGACCGCTCAAATGTTCATCGTACTCTTAATGCTCTCAATGTCTTTACTTCATTACAAAAAATGTGCCGTTTATCTACTGCCATGCCATTGTATCAGCTATGTTTGAAAATATTGCACTGGCACCTGCTGTCATGGCAGACCAAGTGTTGCTGTTATGTCTTGCAGAACAAAAATAAAGAATTAAAAAAAAAAAAAAAAACCCTGTATATATGTACAATTTCTTCTGACTCGGGTAATCTGAGTCTTTACTATTCCTATGAGCCACGCCTGATAGTGACAGCTTTTTTTATGCACACAACTGTTTCCGTCAGGTTTCTTAAAAAAACATTTAGACTTGAGATCTTTATTGTCAATAAAAAATATGACATCTAAAAAGTTTATTCGATGTTTCTGAAATTCGGGAGTTAACTTAAATTATAATTGTTATCATTGATATACCCCACAAAGTTATCAAATGATGTTTTGGAACCTCTCCAAATTCTAATGACATCATCTATGAATCTCTGCTGTAGGACCAAATGTGCCCTCCAGCCATGTTTAAACCAGATGGATTGATCTTCCCAGTCTATATATAACTATTTGCATAGCTGAGAGTAAAGTTGGTCCCCATTGTCGTAACTGTGACTTGAAGATAACATGTCCTATTTGGTGTGACCGGATGGGAAGGTCTCCTGGGGAAGCTACTATAAAACATCTGACACCATATTCATTTGCAAGCTAAGGATTAGCTATTTTTGTAAAACAAAAAGGTGGTGGGAAGAGCTGATATAATATTACACAGTAGGAAAGTCAGAAAGTTGGGAATTGGTTCTGAGTTATTTTTTGACATTACATGTAAAATACATTTGTAAAACATTTAAAAGGCCCTCAATCGCCTACAATCAAAAGTACCTTGGCATTTACCACTCATTTATAAAGGTATTAATGTCATTATTTAGAATACCACTGACAAGAGTTCTAATATACACAATTTATCATACCCTATTGTACACAGCAGTCATTTGTTTTCTCTAACATATTATCCCGAGAGGTTATCCAAAGATTTCGAGATTTCATATTTTATACTCCAGGCAATGAGTGTTTTGCAGAAAACACATTTACACTTTTATCTCCAATTACATCTCTCCCCAATCCGAGACAGGTCCTGGCAGACTTGATAAAGTACTTTTCAAAAAAATCATTCAAATCAAAGTTTCGTTACCCTAAATCACAGGCAACTAGGATCAACTTATCTCGCAATTTTGAAGCCTTATTATATTCTAATTTTACAATTGCTTGGCGATTCAAATATTAATTAGATACATATTTGTTCAAGCAAATATCCCAGTAAATTGGATTTTCTCATCCTTTCTCACAACTGGGACAGAATAAAAATCAGACATTGACAAGAGGAGAACATGTAATACACTGTAGCTAGGCAGATGCACAGTCATAAATTTAATAGCTCTTACATGATATATATTGGTCTTACCTTGAACTGAGTGCTATTTGGAATGCTATATTTATTTATGTAAAAATACTACATCAGAGATGCTGGCAATGTGTGCAGATACAAGGCTATTGGGGGTTCTTGGTTATAAGATCCACTAGGGTTTAATCCATTTGTATAGGAATCACTCATAAATGGGAAACCGCAAAACCCCACAACGGGTATGATGTTTTGGAGTAACAATATGGAGCCTATGGTATATTGTTATTGATACGTTAACACATTACAAATAAACTTGGTCATGGCTGAAGTCCTAGAATGTTTAGAGAATATTACTTTTTTATTATTTCCTTCTTTATATGGCCGTAAGGGTTTGTAACAACAGTTTTATGATTTTATTTGGTTAGTTATTATCTTGCTACTGAGTTTCTGAAATATTGAGACCCCATACATATTTTCTTATTATACCATTATAAGTAAAACCATGGTGCAATGTATTATTTACTATATTTGGCAATTGTAGTTTACAGGATATCATGTTCTTTTTTCTTTTATTAGGTTAGAACCATATTACAATTGCATACATGTCAATAATAAGTTATGTCTGAAAAATATATATGTTATTTATCTACTTAACATAAAAGGTAAGTCTTTTAATGAAACACTTTAAATGTTCATCACAAAAAAACAAGCAAAATAAAAAGATATTTCTAAATTTGGCTTGAAATCGTATTCATGCGCTGTTTCGGGTTATCTACCAACACAACGTTTATGTTGCATTTCAATGCTTTTGTGTTGCCAGCTTTTAGTTTAATTATGATTGCAAATATTTTGTGTACTTCAGATGAGCTTTTTTAGCAACAGAATGAAATTATCAGAAATACAATAGAAAGGTTAGTCACCAAAGGAGAAGCATTAAAGGGAATTTTGATCCTGTAGGGCATGCAATCAGTTATGGCAAGAATTAGTCATATGTGATCCAGAAAACAATATTCTTCACCAAGAAAAGACGTTTTAATTTTTGCTCATTTGAAACACAATATTGATTGTTTTTATGATGTTGTTTATCCATTAACTCTTGAACTTGAGGTTACATTTTAAAGCCTAAAATCATTTAAAGACTTGCATGCCTTTTATCTCACATTTTGTCAAATGTTTTGACATTTTGAGCAGGTTTTACTGTTTTCTGATTTGCTCATCTGATTTCATATTGAACTGAGTAGAGATAAAACTAGAACAATTAGCCTACACTAAACAAAATGTTTCCAGACAATGTTGAAAACAAATGATCTATAACACAAACATGTCTATGCGTCTTTTTACTGCTGCTGAAAAAGCTATGCTTGAAAGTTAGTTTAAAGATATTCACCATCACAGATTACATGCTGGTTTCTGAAAGTAACGTAACTCAGCCATTTTCCTGGTGTAGTGTTGGATTTGAATAATGCTGGGAGAAAAACTGGTGCAAGCCTCTAAGTCAAGCATGTCAAACTTTCGGCTCACAGTGAATATATTTGCGGCCCGCGTGCCCTGGGGCCCCTTTGTGCTGTGGTTGCGAACAGCAGGAAGACAGGAAATATCTTTCCTGTCTGATTCTTGTCTTCCCTCCCACGGCCACAAGAGCGCAGAGTGTATGTTTGTCTGGAGAGCAGGCCAGTCACTCCCCCTGCCCTCCTGCTCACAGTGCCAGAGGAGCGTCTGGCCTGCTTGAGCAGAGAAGAGCAGAGCTGGAACTGGAGGACAGGCAGCTCATCTTAAGGTAGAAGAAGAGAGGCTTGGGAGACCTTCCTGTGTAGTGTGTTAAATTGGGAAGGGAGGGCAGTATATTAATGTGGGAAGGGTGCGGCCAGTGTATTAAATTGGGGGAGGGAGTGAGCACTGCATTAATTTGAGGGAGGGAAGAGGAACTGTATTAATTTGAGGGAAGGAGGGTAGCAGTGTATTCAACTGGGAACAGTGTATTGATTTGAGGGAGAGTGGTAGGGAGGGGGCAGTGTATTAATTTAGGGGAAGGAGGGGGCAGTGCATTAAATTGGAGGAGGGGGACAGTGTATTAGATTGGTGGGAGGGGGCAGTGTGTTAAATTAGGGGGAGGGCAGTGTATTAATCTGGGGAGGGAGGTGGGGCTATGTGTTAAATTGGGGGAGGAAGTGGGCAGTGTATTAGAGTAGTGATAGAGGGAGCAGTGTATTAAAGTGGTGGGAGACAGCCATCGGACTGACCATCGGGCATACCGGGCAAATGCCCGGTGGGCTGCGATGGCCATGGACCGAGGCCAACATGGTAGATCAGTGTATCTCTCCTGCCAGCCCATGCAGAGCCCGCGCTACCTGCTATCTTCCCACCAGTCCACAGGCACTGAGATGTGGCCAGGTTCCTCTCGCGAGGTCGGAGAATTGCCTCGGTTACTATGGCAATGCTCCAATCTCACAAGAGTGAACTCCACCCCAGGAACTGCAGGGTAGAGTTCACTCCTCACCGGACCACCAGGGATTTCCTACTGGACCACCAGTAATTTCAGATAGGACCACCACGGCTGGCAACAAGGTCCACCCTCCCAGATAAGGTAAAAAGATTGGGGGGACATAAACTAAATATATTTTTAAAGTGGAATCCCTGCCCAAACAAGATAATGATATTAATATGTCTAAAACTTCACTTTTATTGTTATGTTGTTAAAAAAGGAGGGGAGGGGGAAAAGTATATCAATAATTAGTATAAATCATGGACACAGTAGGTATATTCAAACTATTTACCTAGTGTGACAAGAAAAGAAAAAAGTATAGATCAATCTTTGGTTTCGAAATAAACCTTGTTTATTTGCTTATTGCTTATACCTTGCTCTAAGTTATAGCTGCAAACAACAACACTTTGTATACATATTATAGTGCAGGTCTCGCATGAATAGTCGAGGAAAGAAACACCTATATAATATCCAGTCT